AGAGAGAGAGAGAGAGAGAGAGAGAGAGAGAGAAATGAATGGCAGATCAAAAGAGAGATATAGACAGAGATATAAATATACAAAGAGTGCAAAAGAAAGAGAAAGGAGGAGAGAAAGAGAGAGATAAGTAGATAGAGAGAGATAGCTAGAGATAGAGAGATAGAGAGGTAGAGAAAGATAGATAGAGAGAGAGATAAAGACTGATAGCTAGACAGAGATAGAGAGAGATAAGTAGATAGAGAAGGATAGGTAGATAGAGAAACAGAGACAGACAGATCAACTACTTTCACCTCATTCTCTCACCCCCAGCCGACCCTACCCAGTCGAGTGTCGGGCAGCCAAGCCAACACGACAGCCGCCACTGTACGTCCTGGAAGCACCGCCCACCCGTCGTCTGGCCCCACCCACTCTTCGTCAGGCCCCACCCACTCCAGCCGCCCGTCTGGTGGGATCGCCACGGGGGCTGCGATGGCCTCAACCCCCATGCCACGGTCTGGGCAGGTGAGATCTGGTCATGTCTGGGCACAGGTGTAGTTGGCAGGTTCACATACAAACATGTGCTACTATATATGTGAGGCAGCGTGGTGGAATCAGGCTCTTGTCAATTGTTGGGCGTGTCGAGATATTGGTTTCATCTTAAAGCTTGTTCAATTGTCTTTATTTGGATGGAAAAAAAATATCCATTTATCTTGAATGCAAGTCGAGATATTTGTGAATGAAGGAGGTGAGGGTCACCAATTTTCAGAGGCAAAATTAGTGAGAAAATGGCCCCCAAAGATTAGTTATTTCTTTAGCTTAAAAGTACATGGTAACTGAAAATTTACATTTTATGTGCCTTTAATCAACGTTTTACTGAAAAATCCACCCAGAAATGAGTTCTTTACTGGGCATGAAAGGTGTTGAGCCGAAAAACAAAAATTTGATAAAAATTTACCAACATGCTGGAAAATGCAGGTTTCTTCATTTTGATTATTTTGACGAGAGCCTGATTCCACCACGCTGCCTCACATATTGTTGAGAGGGGGGGGGGGAGGAATGGGGGTTTGCCCACAACTCAAATTCACCAAGTTCGTTACACTAACTCAAGTGTTTTGCTTGTGCATTAAGTTTTGTGCAGAAAATGTGACGTCTTATGAAACTGGAAGAAGAAAAAAAAATATGAAGGAATTAATAACCGTATTTAAATACTTTAGTAAACCAAGAAACTTGATTGAAAGGATAAGATATTTATGTGCGTGGATGGTTGGCAGGTGCTCTTGTGTGGTTTGCTCCTTCTTCCCTGTCAAACATCTATTGTCCTTTTGTCCACTCCTTCTTTTTTGTGTTTGTTACTCTCTTGTAACACCTCTAATCTTCAGCACTCATATGACCTGATTGTGTTGCAAGTGCCGTAAAATGCTTACTAGAACTAAAACTAAAACATTTCTGTACGTGCAGAGCTCCAGACTTGCGGCTGAGCCAAGGGTCCAGCCCGTAGAACACCTGGGCACAGAGAGACGCGAGTCCAAGGCTCCGCACGGGTCACGCTCAGCTGTGGGGAAGTCGGGAGATGGTTTACCTGGCCAGGCGCCACATAGGACGCAGGAGAGAGGTGAGGGCTTGACGACACCGCATCTTTCTTGTTTGTTTTGTATAATATTATTGTCACCTTCGTTCTCTCTCTCTCCCTCTCTCTCTCTCTCTCTCTCTCTCTCTCTCCCTCTCTCTCTCTCCTCTCTCTCTCTCTCTCTCTCTCTCTCTTCGTCTCTCTCTTTCTCTCTCTTTGTCTCTCTCTCTCTCTCTCTCTCTCTCTCTCTCTCTCTCTCTCTCTCTCTCTTCTGGCACTGTTGTGTGATAAGCGGTTAGTGATGCCGACAGCACGCAGGAACTCAACACTTGCTCGGGGTCCTTGAAAAGTGCTGATTGTGGGTCACTGAAATGTCCCAGAAGACAGGTTCTGACACGATAGTTGACACATGGTCCATAGTCTCGTCCTCCTCCCTGTAGGCTCGATGGAACGGATCTGGTTTATCTGTTGGCACAATTTTGTGGAGATATGATCTCAGCTTGGGCGATTTTCCGCCAGTTCTCATTTGTCACCTTCGCTACGTTGCTGTTGTTCGGGGTATTAAAAACAATGAGGAGGGAGACTCGGGGGAGAGGAGAGACTTTGAGGTTATGTTTCTGTTCTGTTTTGAAGGTTGTCTTCATCTTTGTCAAGGTTATTCTGTTGCAACTTTTTGAGATGAAGAATTATATCATTGATGTTTTTTGTGATAATAGACAAACATAGTCAATGTAATGATGATGAACAGACAGACTTATCATAATAATAATAATAATAATAATAATAATGATAATAACAATAATAGTAATAATAATAGTAATAATAATAATAATAATAATAATAATAATAATAGCTGAAATAATCCTTTTCCAATTGTAATTATCACCATTGTTGTGTTATGAAAATTATTATTAAATCTTTGACAAAAAACAAAAACAAAATATGAATGTGGGTTAAGCAGGTGATCTGGTGGGGTTTGCTTTTTCTTTCCTATCAAACATCTTTCGTCCTTGTCTCTCCTCCATCTTTTCTTAGCATGCTACTCTCTATTGGTATCTCTAATCTTGGCCACTTATATGGCCTATTTATGTTGCAAATGTAGAAAATTCTAACGCTCATGTTAAACCCAAACATCTTTAATATATTCGGCATTGATAAGGTATTATTGTTGCAAATGTGGTAGAATTCTTGCTAAAACTAAAACTATACATCTTTGATCCTTTATAACTTTTTTGAGTTGCAAGTGCTGTAAAAGTCTTACTTAAACTAAAAACTAAAAACTAAAACTAAATGTGAGGCAGCGTGGTGGAATCAGGCTCTCGTCAAATTAAGCAAAGTGAATAAACTTGCATTTTTTCGCAGGTTTGTGAATTTTTATCAAATTTTTGCTTTTTGACTCAACACCTTTCATGCCCATTAAAGAACTCATTTCTCTGAGGATTTTTCTGAAAAATGTTGAGTAAAGGCACAAAAATGTAAATTTTCAGTTACCACGGACTCTTAAGCTAAGGAAATAACTAATCTTTGGCGGCCATTTTCTCACTAGTTTTACCTCTGAAAACAGGTGACCCCCACCTCCCCACCTCCTTCTTTCGCAAATAGCTCGACTTATATTCAAGATAGATGGATATTTTGTTCATACAAATAAAGACAAGTGAACTAGCTTTAAGATGATACCAACAACTCTACATGCCCAAAAATTGACGAGAGCCTGATTCCACCACGCTGCCTCACAAATAATGACTGGTTGATTTTGGGCACTTTTATAACTTTTTTGTGTTGCAAGTACTGTAAAAGTCTAAAAGTTAACAAAAAACTAAAAACTAAAGAATGACTGGTCGTTGCAGCCTTCGACGGGAATGCGGTGACCAATCCTAGCGGTCAAGGCAGTCGCAGGAGTAGCCGTAGCCGTGCCGCCCGCCCTGTG